GTATATATATATAGACATCAAGGCTACGAACAATGTATATATAAGTATATATATATAGACATCAAGGCTACGAACAATATATATAATCCGCGTGTGAACATTGTTTACCAGTTTGGTAATGATCACTTTTTTTATATTTAAAAATTAAATGACAACAAATGTTATATGTGGAGCTTAGCACAACTATACTGAGTCTTTCATCGTACATAGATGAATGAACAGTGAAATTTTCCAATATCATTGAAATGACATTCCTTTAAAAGGTTTGAAATTATTTATCAGATTAGAGACAGACATGAGTTCTTCCACCATATGCAATATCTACCATAAAACTCCAGTCGTTTTTTTTTCTCAGTTAGGAATAGACTGATTTATTTATTTTTTTTTACTTTATTCATTGCAGAAACAAAATATATCACACAGTTAGACTTTTTTTACATACCTCATTATACAACCCAAACATACTTCAATCAAATGGTTTCCTTGTTCATTATGCAAACAAAACAGAGTACACAACAGAAAGAATACAGACTTACATTATATTGTTTGATATATTTCTTACAAGTTGCAGTAAGATTAGTCACTTCGTTACAGAAATAAAGCAGAATGCAATAAAACTTTTACCTCCTTCTCTATTTTGTTTCTATCTATAAATAGATGCTTAATCCTTATCTCTTCATTTTGCAGCGTGGGAGATAAATAGTTTCACTGAAATCTGTTTTTGTTGTGTAAGGATTTTGTTTGTTATTAGACACAAGCTATACAAATGGGCTATCTGTGATGTGCCCACTGCGGGTATCATTACAAGCCCTCAGATTTATCGCTGAGCCACTAGGGAGTTTTTGTATGAAAGAAGGTAAAACAACTTCAAAGTAATATATTTTGTTTTCCACTGATATAGATTTTGATGAGGAAGAAGTCAGTGAAACCTGTTTCCTTTCTGTAACCAAAGGAGTAAACGGTTTCGCTAAAATCCATTTTGGTTTTGCAAGAAAGACAGCAAATGACTTCAGTAGAATTTGTTTTGTTCCTGTAGTGAAGGAAATGAAAATTCTTACTGAAATATGCTTTGGTTTAGTAATGAAGGAGTTAGTCTTACTATAATCAGTTTTGATTTAGTAAGAAAGAAGATAAGGAAGTTAAACAATCTCATTCAACTTTATTTTGTCAGTAACAAAGAGGTTTAACTAGTTTACTGTAAGTTGCAAAGAAGAAGGTGAACAATCTAAATGTAATATGTTTTGTTCCTATAATGAAGGAGGCCAAGTGTCTCTCTAGAATCTGTTGTTTTTCTTCAGTTTACAGTCACACTATTTACCTCCTTTGTTACAGAAACAAACAATAATACAGTAAACACTTTACCTTTGTTACAGGAACAAACAATAATACAGTAAACCACTTTACCTTTGTTACAGAAACAAACAATAATACAGTAAACTACTTTACCTTTGTTACAGAAACAAACAATAATACGGTAAACCACTTTACCTTTGTTACAGGAACAAACAATAATACAGTAAACTACTTTACCTTTGTTACAGGAACAAACAATAATACAGTAAACCACTTTACCTTTGTTACAGATACAAACAATAATACAGTAAACCATTTTTACCTTTGTTACAGAAACAAACAATAATACGGTAAACCACTTTACCTTTGTTACAGGAACAAACAATAATACAGTAAACTACTTTACCTTTGTTACAGAAACAAACAATAATACAGTAAACCATTTTTACTTCCTTCGTCAAAGGAACAAGAAGGGCATACAAACGTTGAAATTAATTTCGTTATCATCTAAATAAACTAATTTAAATAAACAGTTTTCTTTCTTCGCTATAGATAAAACAGGATAGAAATAGCTAGTTTTCTTTAATTACTGAACGACAATACAGATTAAAGACGAAATAATCTTATTCAAAATATAATAAGTCAAATGTTACACATTAACAATTCATGATTTTCCTCACAGTATCAAATATTTATTTTAAAACCATTGTTTCTTTGCAAACATTCGATTCCTAGTTCCTAAAATATGCAATATCTGTGAGATGCATTCCTACTGATATTTGAACACCAATCCTTCGCAAAGAAAAAATATGAAATATTTTATAACATCCCTGATGTGTTATTTGTAGTCAACCGCTTTCCTTAGACGGAAAATACTGAGACAATACTTTGAGCTCTTAACAACAGAAACGTTTTGGGTTGACAGTTTACATCCTTCTTTACAAAAACAAAACAGTCTACGAATAGACGAATTATCAACGATTATATCAACAAAGTGGCCACCCCTAAGGAAAATAAAGATAATGTACCAAAAAATATATTGGGTATATGACACTAACATTAACTGGAACACATGTTTTGAAAATCAAGAACAGAACTTCCTTTGTAATGTGTACCCACAAGTTGAATTACGTGTGGTACTTAAACCAGTATTCCAAATAAGGAACTATTTTGTATTCAAAGATAGAATTTGCAAAGCGGACCGATCACATGTCATCTACAGATATCAGTGCTTTGTTTATAATAGTGCATATATAGAGTTGACGGTGAGGAGACTTAGTGATCGAGTTAAAGAACACAGTGTGTCAAGGTATGCAGATTTCTCAAACATTTTCTAAATTAAAGAAAAATGCGTGAATGTAAATGTAGAAATTGAACAGTTTTAAATTATCGGAAAGGCTGAAAATGAGCAGTGGCTGAGGTTAAAAGAAACATTAGCCATAAAGAACTTAGCACATGAACTAAACAAGAAATCCAACACCGGTGATCTGATGTTAAAAGTGTAATAAGAGAGAAAAAAATCAAAAGGTTCTCTTCTTATGTCTATGAAAATATCACTTATGGCCACAGATTTAATCTAATCACTTCAGCAGCTACACAGTCAGTTGGACGCGTGTTTTTATTGACAGAAAACAAGAAGTTACGAAAGGATTTAAACAGATTACAGTCAAACAACTTACTCAGCATTACAAAAACCGGCAAAAACAACATGTTCATTATAAAACAAAACAGGTTACAGATGGACATCATATTCACTACTGGACAAATCAAGTTACAGGCAGACATTATGTTCAAATGATTCAGTAATAAAGTGGAATAGGAAGATAATTACTGGTGATATAGAATGAAGTGTTATAGACATACCCTGTGACAATATCATTAAAGTTGTTACGACAGCGGAAGTCACACGACGCTGGGAGCATGCGCGCTGGATTTTCTCGGAGGATCATGAATTTGCCCGCCAGCTCGAGTGTGATCTTGATGCCCTCTTTTTTAGTATATAAGACTGGACGAAAAAAAAAAGGATGATTGAAGAGATAGATAATTGAGTCAAGCGAACAG